GATAGATAGATAGATAGATAGATAGATAGATAGATAGATAGATAGATATGATATGATATGATATGATAGATGATATAGAGATAGAAAGAGATACAGGTATACATATATAGATATAGGTATATGGAGCTATATAGCTAGAGATATTCCCCCAAACATCTTGGAAAAGGGCATTTGCAAGCTTTTGTCACTGTGACTTGACTGCATAAACCTGGTGTTTCCAAATGTGTACTTGCATATGGACATCTGTAGAAAATATTCAGACTCCTCTGCACCCTGGAGATCATACTGTAGTAGCCCTTGGGGGTCAGCTACCACCCCTTCCCCTGAGCTCTGGCCCTATGGTCAGCTGAGGAGTCCCTTGGAACACGTCTCCCTGTACCTAAAATGACTCCCTCATCTAATCTAACTGCCTCTTTCCACGACGGTTCCATGATGAAAGGACATCTTGGGTTTTGTAGAAAACACAAGTCCCTCCTCTTTTAACACAAAATAAACAATCTTTCCCAGAAGCACTTATCCAGCCACAAGGAGGACCCAGCAGGATCTCTCTATCTGGAAGCAAGTTTTGAGAATGACCTCACGGACCTAAAACTCTCTGGAAAATGCAGCTCCTGCCACAGCAGAACAATGGAAGACTTTCCTACTCTTGAACTTGAACCCAAAGCCTTGATTACACCCACTCTTTGGATAAACAGCTGCCCTGCATGGAGGTTGCTAGAATTGCTTGTTTTCTTTAAATAAGGAAATGCTATTTCTAGAATTACAACAAAGGGTGTTAAAGAGAAGCAAGAACACCTCCTCATCCCACCCTTGGGAATTAAATTGAAGAGCTTGACCCTTCATTTCCCTAACCATCTTAGAATTATTTAAATATGTGTGCATAAAAGTAGATTCTATCACAGGTAATTTTTATTTAAATGTTTTATTTTTGAGAATTTCATCCTTGAGTATTCCTTTTACATCATTCCCATCCCTCCATCACCCCCCAACTTCTTCCATGTCTCTCCCACCATTTCCTTTCACATTCATGACCCCTTCTATAATTCTTTTTCACATATACACACACGTGTGTACTACTGTGCACTGTGTCCTACTGTGTCCATTCAGTGTTGCTCTTATGTACCTGTGTTTAGGACTGACCACTTGGGACTGGATAACCTATCAAGTAGCTTGTCACTAGAGACTACTCACTCTCCTCTCCTTGGCGTATCAGACGGTGGTGTCATTACTTGGATCTTGTCTAGGTAACCATACTGTTGAGATATCCTGGTGCAGCTTCCTTGCCACGTCTAGAAGACGTTATCTTGCAGCAGGTGTCCTGCTCCTCTGACTCTTAAAACCCTTCCACCCCCTCTACCGTAGTGTTCCCTGAGTCTTCGGTATTGCAGAGCTGTTTTACAGATGCATCAATTGGGGCTGGGGACTCCACAAACACTTATTCTCTGCATTTTGACAAGTTATAGATCTTTGTGGTGACCTCTATCGGCTTAAAAAACAACTTCTTTGATAAGGTGTGAAAGCCGCACTTATCTATGGGTATAATAAACACTTAGAATACAGTTATAAATTATATTAGTTTGGGGAAAGGGCAATAGTAGGTTCCATTTCAAGGTCTATGACTGTTCCATCCATGGGTATTTGACAGGTTTTGCAGTACAAGACATGAATTCTCACCTATTGATCAGGTCTTAAGTTCTATCAGATGGCTGTTAACTACCTTCAAGGTAATAAAGTCACTATGGCAACATCAGGGATAGCATGCTGAGCCAGTCACTGCTATGGTTTCCAGCCTTTACAACTAGGTAAAGGATTTCTTTCCTCCCTTAACATCTTGCATAGCATCTTCTAGTACTATGAAAGCTAGTCTTCAGGGAGGGAGTTTCCAGGTCAAACCCAGCTCATTTCCTCCAGTGCTGCATCTGAAGAGTGTAGTGTCTTCAGCAATAGGATCTCAAGTCTAGGAGCCAATCAAGGGAAACATAAATAACCCCTATTATTTTGGGAGCCTCTTTAATTCCCCCAACCAACAGCTTGGGATAAGGGAAGGTCCCCATATCTGACACAAAGGTTTTGTTACATCGTCTATGGTTATTGGGAGGAGCATTATCTCCCCCATGAAACACAGATATTTTTAAATAATACCATATTGAATATACTACAGCTGAATTTTTTTCCTTCTTAGATATTGTGCTATAGATATTAGATATCATGCTATATATTTGGCTCTACATATCATATATTAACGTGAACAGAACAGAAGTTTCTTTTTGCCTTAAAGCAATCCTAAGGTAGATGGTCCAAGAATTCTCTGGAATGCTACACTGGTGAAGGAGGGTCTTCTTTCTATGTGTTGCTTTCATTGGTTGAATAAAGAAAACTCTCTTGGCCTTTTGATAGGGCAGCCCTTAGGTGGGCAGAGTAGACAGAACGGAATGCTGGGAGGAAGAAAGGCAGTGTGGCAAATGCCATGGCTCTCCTCTCCAAGATGGATGCTGGTTAGACTCATGCCAGTAAGCCACAGTCAAGTGGCAATACACATTAATGGAGATGGGTTAAACGAATATGTAAGAGTTAGCCAATAGAGGTTAGAACTAATGGGCCAGGCAGTACTTAAATAAATACAGGTTTTGTGTGATTATTTCAAGTATAAGCTAGCCGGGCACCCGGGAGCCAGACAGGACAAGACAAAGGACCTGCTCCTCAATACAACACTACACCATGAAAGCTGTCCACCTCGCATGACATCATAGTTCATGACCAGATCATAGTCATATCCTGGCAAGGAAAACTGGAGAATGTTGTCCTCTTCGGTGTGTATGGTGAAAGCCACAGCAAAGGGTGTCCTCATGAGGGTGAGATGGGTGAATGCCAAGCTGGTAGGCTTAGCCCTGGACAGAGCTCTGGTGTGTTCTGTTTGCTCTAACTCATTGCATTTTAATAACAGCTCACCTTTCCAAAGTGTGGCTATCTCACAGTTTGCTCAAGCATTTTTTTATATCTGGAATATGGGCTTATTTTCAGGTTTTCATTGTTTTCCTTTTGCCACAGCAAGCAAGAATATTGAATTTGAATGATCTTTTTCAAACAAACCCACTGTATTTTGACTCTCCTTGACTGACAGGTGGACAGGCAAGTACTAAGCCTTTCTTCTTCAATATTAAAGAATCATGAAGCTGACTGAAGGAACACCTGTGAACGACCACAGTACCCCCTTGCTTCCTCCGTCTTCTGAGTTCTGGTTTTTCCCCGTGAAAGGAGCTGATGTCACTCACAGAAATGTAGCTAGACACAAGTGCTTAAGGAAGAGGAGGCTGCCTTTGGGGAACAGCAGTTACTCAGCAGGTTTTCTCCCAACAACAGGTTGGGAGCGGCGCTCTGGCAGGTATACCCTTTAGGTTCATTGCTCCTCCAAAGCTGAGAGTTTGATGCTGCACAATTCCTGGAAAGAAAATGGCTTTGTGTGAAAATGAGGATTCTCTGAATGCCTGATCATAATGTAGTCTTGAGGAAAAAAATAATAGAGATGGGCAGAAAGGAGGAGGACGTGGAGAGGGAAGAAGGGGAGGAGGGAAGGAGAGAGGCAAACCTGTACTGTAACATGTAGACATGGGGAAGGGTCAAGCAAATGAAGCTGTTTTTTAACATAAATCTCTCTGAGGAACAGGAGCTCATTTGTCTATGGCTAGGAGGCATCTCAGGAGGTAGAAGAAAGCTGGTCAGGAGGTAGAAGAAAGCTGGACTCAGGGAAGGGCAGAGCAAAGAAGAAAAGGAAGTTCTCCGGCATCTGCTTCACTCCTCCCATGTCACATTCCAAGATTCTAGCCTTTTCTTTTAGACCAGCCTTGTAACATGAGGGCCTTCTTGTTGGGGTTTCTGTCCTGCCCAGTTCCCACAGTCTTTAGGTCCCAAAGAAAATCACACAGATGTCTCCATAAGTTACAAACTGATTGGCCCATTAGCTCAGGCTTTGTATTAGCTCTTGTAGCTTATATCAACCCATTATTCTTATCTATGTTAGCCATATGGCTAGGTACCCTTTTCAACAAGGCAGGTCACATCCTGCTTCTTCAGTGATCTGGGCAGGACTGCGGAAAGAGCTTTCTTCTTCCCAGAATACTCTTGTTCTCATTGCCCCACCTCTACTTCCTGTCTGGTTTTCTCGCCTATATGTCCTGCCTGGCTACTGGCCAATCAGCGTTTATTTAAAATACAACTGACAGAATATAGAATTGTCCTGAACCAGAGCCTAAGTGAAATGGGTTATACCTTTAACTCATATTTCATTGAGAAAAAAAAAAAGGATGCTGGTCCATCCATCCAGTGTCAATGAACTGTGGCTAAAGAGGTCAAGTCTAGTAGTAGAAAACTGGTTTCCGAGACTCCGTTATCAATGGTACAAGTACAGACCTCCAGGCTAGAGTCCCTGTGATCTGGGAAGACCCTCAGACAAAGTGACACATTGAATCTCTCAGTAAAAGAGATTACCCTTCAAATCATATACATTTCTAGATGTTACTGATCATTTTAGAAATGTCACGTGGTTTAGAGATTCAGATCACACAGGCAAGGCCATTCTAACAGATCAGCCACTCTGGTTAACAGTGTTAGCAAACCTCTGCTGTAAATCAGGTGGAGGACGAGTATTGCTTTCTATCACCCAAACGCTAGCCCAGTCAATGGGAAGGGAGGTGTGGGGTTTCTCGTCCTGCCCAGACCCAACTATCAGGACAGCCATTTCACCTCCAGCATATGTAATGACTTTCCTGCACCTAGCAAAGTGTAAAGCAGGGACAAATGTCATCTTAAGAAATAAGAAGGAAGCCGGGCGGTGGTGGCGCGTGCCTTTAATCTCAGCACATGGGAGGCAGAGGCAGGCAGATTCCTGTGAGTTTGCAGTCAGCCAGATCTACAGAGTGAGTTCCAGGACAGGCTCCAAAGCTACAGAGAAACCCTGTCTCAAAAAACCAAAAAGAAAAAGGAAAAAGAAATAAGGGAGTTGAATTTAGGTTTGATACTCCTGACATGCAGCATGGAGGAAGACCCTGTGGAAGAGAGTCGATGTGTTCTAACATCCATCTGATACATTTCAGAAGAGTGAATCAGTGTCCTGTGATAGGAATCCCAACACCTGCTACTAAACTGTGCTAGCAGCCAATGGGACCAATGGGACTTTCACACACACAAGCTTGCACCCAGTCTTCCCAGCCAACATTTGCTTCTCTGGACTTTATGCCTTGTGGGTCTTCCTTAACTAGAATAATGATCTCTACCTCAGTTGTCATCATAAAAGGTGTGTAAGACCATCAGAGGTGTGGAATTCTAGGTCAATGGAGCTGTGACTGAAGTCCAATACGAATAATCTAATTGAAAATGTTGGGCTGAGATCACAGCTTTCTCATCTCCAACAGTGTCGTTCTAAAAGCAGCCTGGCAGCCATAGCTGCATCCTGCAGACAACCAACTTAGATGCTGCCCTGGCACTCAGAGCTTGTTCTGCAAGAAGAATCAGGATCCTGGAAGTGTAGATGTTTCTATTCTTTCTGGGAAAGAAATTTCAGGTCAAGTAAGGATTCTGAAAGACAGAGAACCAGCTTTAAGAGCAAAAGAAAACAGTGTGAAGTGCCCCCAGTTGATGAAGATGTGGTCATTCGAGAACAGGATGCTGGTGTACTTCATGGTTAATTGAAATACTTTTTTTATATTTATATGAAAAACTGTGACGTCTCAATAACACTCAGAACAAAACTGGTACTACAAAGTATCCAAAATATGCCTGAAAGCAGAATGTAAACATGATAAATTATGCTCAATATATATGGAATGTAATCATTACTGTTTGGGATTTTTTTAAAGTTATATGAACTGGGTTTATAAGACAAATATTTGCATACTTTCATACACTGCATAGGCATAGGAAAGTAAACATTAAAAAACTTTTGCTTAAGCAAAAAAAAAACTCATGGGGAAATTAGAAAGTAAATCAGGATCAGGAGGGATGGAGTAACAGCAGTGGCCACAAGTAGTGGACGTGTTGAACCCGGGAACCACAGCAATCACACGCAATGTGTGACTCATTCCAGAGTCCGAACACAGGAGCCAAGAGACCCAAGAGCCAAGGCTACAGCAAAGGAATGGTGGTGTGTGTGCGTGTGTGTGTGTGTGTGTGTGTGTGTGTGTGGTGTTTGTGGGAAGAATTACCACAAGGAGCAAAAGGAATCAGGCGTAAGAAGCAGAGTTGAGGCACAGTTGCAGGAGCATCCTTAGACAACCCCACAGAGGATCCTGAAGGCAGAAGGGCCCTTCAGAAGGTGCAGCTTGAAGCTTGAGCCAGCTAGTTACATTTCCCACCCCTGTCTCGGCAGGAAGCTAGAGCAGACATGTTCTGGAATATGACCTCTGGCAAGGCATCTTCTCTGTGTTAAAGCCAGTTCCCCAGGAGCAACTCAGAGAACCTGGGGTGTGTTTTGTGGGGGGGGGTGTCTTCCAGAGGCAGGGGTCTGGGGTACTGTAGCATTCACTGCAGTCGTCTCTGCCCTCCCCCTCCCAGCATATCTGCTTCATTTGTGTGACTCACCCATTTAGAAAGACACCCCCAGAAACCTGTTGGTTTCTTCTGCTGAAGAAATTTGCAAGAGAACGGTAAGCAGGGGTACAGTCCAGCCCCGCCACTGCTGCGGGTTTCCAGGCTGCACCAAGGGCACGCGACACTGCGGCCCCGCTTCACCCAGGATGTGAGATTTTTCAGTGGTTAAACCAGGCTAGTGCAGGGTAAGCTAGAAGGGCCGGCTATCTTGACAGCATCTAGTAGTTGCCGCCTCCTCTGCAGCTTCTTATTCGAGATGCTTCGGTTTGCAACTCTGTTGAAAATTTCTTCACTCTCGACAGAGCTTCTTTCTCACGTATCCTAAAACGCTTAGGCCCTCGTGTGGCACGTGACTTTTTCCCTCAGTACCATCAGAGGAGAGTCACCTGACTTGATGTACAGGATGGTCTCCCTGCCTCACTGTGTAGCATCAATCCGTCTCCTGGTTATCATGGCCAATTGACTCTGCCAAACTGATGGCCTTTTTCCCTCAGTGTTCTCCTGGTCCACAGATCCCAAAGAGACGAGCTGTTACCACAGCTTGAAGTTTGCTGGACTCTCAGTATTCCCTAATAGAAGTATCTGGAACTTGTAGGTCTAGAGTTGTAGAGAAGAAGTAAAACTCTCCAAACAGGCCACTAGTAAGTCAGCTCAATCATACCTGCCCCCTCTCCTTTCAGAATTCACATGCCCTGCCTACCAGGGCCCCTGTATCATCCAATGTTTGTTGGCTTAGGATATGTGCTCTATTCTGAAGAGTGGGACCCTTTCTTTCAAAGGTATCAGCTCTAAGATGGGATCTCAGTTGTGTTTTCAAGACTCTTTTTTTTTTCTCTATCAGAATAGAAACTTCTGTGGAACTGGTAGGTCCCGCGGTCATGTGCCCTCTGTCACACGCTTTCCGCTGCAAACGGAAACGTTCACTCCAGTGAAATAGTCTATCAAGTCCCATGTCAGTGGACAAAGCACTCAGTATGTGGGGGCTGGGGAGACAACTCAGTAGTAAGAGCACTGGTTCATCTTCCAGGACATGGTTGTTGGTTCTCAGCACCTACCTGGCAGCTCACATCTCTAACTCTAGGGCTAAGGTGATATGATACCCTCTTCTGGACTCCCATGGGCACCAGGAATGCATGTGATGTGCAGACATACATGCAGGCAAACCCTACATACACATAAAAATAAAAAAAATAAATAAAAGTTTAAAACAACAACAACTCAGCAAGGGCCTGAATGGTTGTACAATGTGCCGAGTCTCCACACCTCCCAGAAGGGAAGAGACCCAGTGTGGTCACCATGCCTCTGAGGGGTCGAGTCTATATTTAGATTCGTTATTGGTCTCTAAAGCTGTCCAGCTGACCACTTGGTGTTGGCAGCAACTACACCCGGTCAGAGTAAATGTCCACCATCTCAGTCACTATGGCAACTTAACTTTGGTGCCAGCATTGATGTGACTGTTGACAACAGACCAAGTCATTCTGTCTTCTTGTCAGCATGTGCCCGCCACAGCTGAAAGTGTATGAATGGAATACTAGGCCAGCTGCGGCAGGGGAGGGGGAAGTTGGGGGAAAGAGAGTTCATTGATATGAGAATTCTCTTTCAGGACACAGGACCTACTGCTGGGGAAAAGAAAAATGGCTAAGCACCTTACTTTTGGAAGCGTGGAGAAGCCGAAGACCCACCCTAGACTGGTGTCTTTGGTTTGCCTGTACTTTTCTATGCCCCCTGTGTCCCATTCACCAAACAACTGTGAACCAACTAAAAAACAGACGTGAGAAATTCTCTCGCTGCTGATGGTATAGGAGAGCCCTATCTCCTTGAGAGGATGTGAGCGTGGTGGGCACATACTATGTGTGT